GGGGGGGGGGGGGGGAAGCAACCCCATTGCAAAATCATGGCAGCATTTTTGTAAAAAAAACAAAAACGGGTACATCCTGAAGCAGCTCATATCTTCCCCCTCCTTTCCCAGGGGGCATGTAGGGTTAGGATTAACCATCCTTTTCAGGGTTGTGTGTGTGTTCTTTTTTTTTTTTTTTTTTAATTGACCCAGAATTCAGAGTTATGACTCCCTTCAAAGAACCTGGGTGATCCTAGACCTGCAAATACCCCATGTCACTACCTGAGCCAGGACTCCCCAAACTTGGAAACTTTAAGATTTGTGGCCTTCAACTCCCCAAAATCCACAAGTCCTAAAGTTGCCAAGTTTGGAGACCTCTGAGCTAAGCCAACAATAAATTCTAATTCTTTTTTTGTATAGTTATAAAGAGGCTTGTAAGTCCTTAAAGTGCCCGGGAGTATTTAAAAAAAAGAGTATGATTTGCCTTTAATTCAGGAAACGATTTTCCTGATAGGATGACGGAGTGAGATAACTCAAGTCTGATAAATAAATAATGATTGTGACATAGTTTGATTCTGACTTTTGCTTTCCTTGTCTTTTTATTTCTTCAGGGTCTGGAGAAAATCAACATCGACTAAAGCCATGAGCTGATATTCTTTTTATTTCATCAAAGCATTTATAATATTAAATCAAATAAAACAGAACCTAAAACAAGCCTGAAGTGCGTGGGTTGCAAACTTGGGAGGAGAAAAATAGGATTCTAAGCAAGGCAGTTGTTAAAAAAAGACGGCAATTGCTTTGGTTAGGCCTTTTGAAAAACAATCAGATGAGCAAAATCATGAGTAGCAAGCAGGCAATTTTCGTAGCAGCGGAAAATTGTCTCCCAGATGCTTCCACTCCACATGTGGCTTGAGGATCTGCAGTGAAAGAAAGAGAGTTAATCTTGCAGGAATGCCTGGGGCTGGCATGCAGAAGGAGCCCGTGGCTTTCGGAGAGGGAATCTGGTGATACTCACTTCTCCAGATCACTTTGGATTTGACTTGGGTCCAGTAGACGTCGTGTGATTGGGCCACAGTTGCCCTGATTTTAGCAGGAAGAGACATAATTATAGTTAGAATTTCTGAGGACGTTCAAGTAAGGCTGGGAATCTTCCATTGTCAGAGGTGGTATCCAGCTGGTTCGAACCAGTTCTGGAGAACCAGTAGTGGAAATGTTGAGTGGTTCGGAGAACCAGCAAATCCCACCTCTGAATGGCCCTGCCCACATCTCTTCTCTGCCTCCCATTGAGTCCCAGCTGATCAGCTGGGTCTTCTTTGGTTGCCCTGCACAGGAGAATGGAGCTGGAAAGCAGGTTAGTGGGGTGGGGAAATCCCACCTCTGACTGGCCCCGCCCCATCTATTCTCCGCCCCCTAAGTCCCAGCTGATTGGCTGGGTCTTCTTTGGTTGCCCTGCACAGGAGAATGGAACTGGAAAGCAGGGTTAGTGAGGTGGGGAGGGAATGGGGATTTTGCAGTAACCTTCTCCCAGGAGTGGGGAGGGAATGGGGATTTTACAAGTGCCACGCCCACCAAGCCACACCACGCCCACTAAGCCATGGCCACAAAACCATTAATTAAAAAAATTGAATCCCACCATTGCATTGTGTTAATCCAATGTTTCTCAATCTGGACCATTTTAAGATGTGTGGACTTCATCTCCCAGAATTCCCTAGCCAGCATATTAATTCTTTGGTGTTTTGAATAATATCCAGCTAAAGGTTATAAAACAGTTCCTATTTACACAACTAGAGGGTTTCAGATTAGAAGAGGCCAAGGGAATTGAAATCAATGATCTTCCACAATGCTTTTAAAATCCCACCCTCTCCCCTTGCAGAATTAATTGGAAAGGATATTTTCCAGGAATTATGGCTTCTTGGCTCGCCTGATTTCTAGCCTCATGAAATATCACCATTTTTAAAGAAAAGCAGCCAGAGTTCGAAATGCCCATAATACTTACACAAAGTAAACTACTGGGGGACAGTGTAAGGGAGGTGGGAGCCAGGAGTAGATCTGATTCATTTTTAAATTGGTGTTGGAATGAGTAATGGCCCCTTGAAGATTTCCAGAGCACTGCCAAATAAACAAGTAAATTAAGTAAGTAAATGAATAAACACCAAGGCTACTTCAAGTTAATTCAAGTTTAAAACAGAATTAATTGTATTTCTACCACACCCTTGCTCTTTGCCCTTTTTTTTCACCTCAGTTTTGTGTCTTCACATAGCAATAGCTGAAACGAAACAATTGCCTTGCATGCCCAATCTTCAAAACAAGCCCCATGGAAGTGATGACTTTTATCTAGCACATTTTGCTTCGATGGGCCTTTCTGAATTCAACACCCATGAAGCGGAGCCATGGTTTACCCACCGTAGGATTGGGATCTTACAAGAACACGCTGACCTGAAGTTAAACAACATGCCATCTCAGTGTAACGTGAGAAAGTGAGCTATGGTTGTGCAGAGTTCATGCTACACAATTTTGGGGTTGTGGGTAATAGCAATAGCACTTAGACTTACATACTGCTCCATAGTGCTTTAGTGCCCCCAACAATCTCTGTCCTCATTTTACTGACCTTGAAAGGATAGAACTTGTAGGTGCTCCAACACTGGGGTTTTTTTAAAGAAGAGATTGGGCAACCCCTTTGTCTGAAATGGTATAGATTTTCCACTTCAGCAGAGGGTTGGAATAGAAGACCTCCATGGTCCCTTCTAACTCTTGTTATTGCATTCTAACCACTGTGGGCAATGGTGGGTTCAAACAGACCTGAGGATGCTATGTTGCTCGCCATTTGCCTGCAAGCAAGAACCGGTGGGAACACAAACTAGTGACTAGTCACAGGGTACAAAGACACTGAAGAGCTCTGGGACTAGAATTCAAGCAGACAAGTACCTGCCACACCGCCCTCCAGACTTTTAACTAGTTGCGCTTACCTGTAAAAGTCTGGTATTGTTGGGGGGAGTTTGCCAAAACCCCAGGGCAGCGGCTGGGTGAAACGAACGCGCTTCCAACAACAACCCTCGATAAGCAGCTCCTAGGATCTGAACTGGAGAGGAAAAAAAACTTCTTTTTGCCGAACGCCTTAACGGTGTTTCTTTTCCATTACTGTAAACCAGTAAACCTTGTTTTGTTTCCCAAGCATTTTTTTTAAAAAAAATAGAGTTTATCTATTTTGTCCAGAATGAATGGCTTAACCATGGGTGAATGGATCAACCAAAGTTGGCTGGATTCACCCACTTGGCTAAGCATTTAGGTATGAAACTCCAAAGTGGATTCACACAACCCATTTATCTAAAATGAGAGAAAATGGCTTTTGGATGATCAGGACGACTGCTGACTTCAATGATACCTGCATTTGGGGTTGTTGTTTTTTTTTTTTTTGGCAATCATGTGGAAGTAGATTATTATCTTTTGTTTCTGGGAATTTATCCACTTCTCGTTGCCTAAAATCTGGACATTTCTTTTTTTTCTATTGTTCTTTTTCACATTTTACACATTTTAATCTTAGTATTAACAGTACTGTGACATCTATTACATATACCAATCTCATATAAATATATACATTTATATACATTCATATACATTTATGCATAATTTTCTTATCTCCAATATCCTTATTTCTCTTGTTCAACCATTTATACCAATTATCCCAAAATTTGTAATACTCTGACTCTTCTTTATCCTTTAATTTTAACATACGTTTATCCATTTCAGCACAATCTAAATTTTTTTTAATTACTAATTCCTCTGAAGGTGTGTTATTCCGTTTCCTACATTGTGCAAATGCTATCCTTGTTTTTGTCAATATATTAGTAGAATATATTTAATCTTTTTCCTATATTTCCCTTTAATTATTCCCAACAAGAACAATTCCAGTTTAAACTATCTGATCTTTCACTATTTCATATAAACAACTGCATATTTTAATCCAGTATTTTTGGGGTTCCGGGCACGACCACCACATGTGGTAGAAGGTATCTTGGTTTTGTTTGCATTTCCAACATTTCGGATTCATGTTAGGGTACATTTTTGCCAATCTCATTGGTGTCAAGTGCCAACGATAAAATGTATATATTTTCTTTATAAGCTGTCAATCTTGTTACTGTATAATTTTTATTCCACATTTTTCCACTAAGTCTATATTGTGTCCTATATTTTTTTCCCCATGCTATCATACAACCTTTTACTACTTCCTTCCAAAGCAACTTTTAATAAATAATTATACATCCTTGTTATGAATTTCTCTTCGGGGCCTACTAAAATTTTATCTAATTGTTGTAGCTCAGTATAAAATCCAAATTCTTCTACGTCTTTTTGGTATCTGGTTTGCAGCTGAAGATATAGCCACCAATCTATGTTTATATCTTGCTTTTTTAATTCCTGATTTGTTTTTAATTTTCCCTGAATCCGAACATTTCTTGCTGATAATCTTGTCTAATCTGGCTCAGTTTAGTGCTTCCAAGATTGTCTAAAATTTGGCTACTGCTGATCATTGCTAACATAAAAACCCAATGATTATTGATGCTGAGAAAACATAAGGACTTCTTAACTCTACTTGGAAAAGAAGAGAGAGAGAGAGAGAAAAGGAAGATTTGGGGTCGAGTGGCTTTCACAGTACTTTCCTTTCAATTGAAATAAACAAAATAAAAACTTACCATTAACTGGCTGCCCGTTTTGGAAGGATGGTGTACTAACCGAAAGTTCATAAGGACTAGGTACCGTTTGAGGCTGTACCCCAATATGGACTGGCAACATATTGTTACAGGCAGATTCGGGGGCTCCATCTGGAAAGGCGTGATTTGAACCCAGGATGGTCCAGAAAGTGAGAACGGACCCCAAAAGGCGATTCCAACAAGCCATGATGTGTAGAAACAAAAGATTGCCTTGCTCGATCTCTTGTCTCCAAAAACAAGTATGAAATATCCAAGCTCAAAAAGAAAGCAAGAAAAAAAAAAAGAAGAGTTTGGGGTGAGTCATTAATTCCAGAACAGATTCATTTTCTATCCATGAGGGATGAAAAACTCACATGTCTGTTTGCTGAGAAGATCTCTGAGTTTTTATCTAGACTTAAGCAAAGGGTTGGAGCATTGCTAGAAATTGATTAACTTTAGATATCTCAGTGTCATGTATAGAGTTTCTGGAAGACCAGAAGAGGTTAGATCTGTGATAGAAATGGGTTGTATTTAGTTTAGATCAGGGGTCCCCAAACTTGGCAACTATAAAACTTGTGGACTTCAACTCCCAGAAACTCACAGCACTTAAACCATCATGTTTTATCCCATAAAAGCTAAATAGGGTCAGGGTTTATTAATTTGGATTGTAGACTGTTAGAACAAACCGAGAAGTAATAACATTTCAGAAAAAAGCAATGTCAAATTTTCCATAAAAAACAAACCCACATGCCTATTTCTGTGTAGTTACTGGTGGACAAAAGTGGATTTTTATTTCACTTATCAACATAATTTTAAAATTGCCACTATAGCTTAGTGTGATTCACACACTGTGTTATAGGAGATGAAAAAAAATCATAGTAGATTAACTAACCAAGGGGTGTAGCTAAATGCAGTGTTTCAGCTAGAAATTATAGGAGATATGGCTTTTGAGAAAACTGGAAATAGTCACACTGTTTAAAGTCTGGCTTGTTTCCCAAAGATAGTTTGCTGGTTGTTGGGAGGACTGAATGATCCTTTTTTTTTTACAGGAATCAAGAGGAAGAAAGAATCTCTTTTTTTCAAAAGTCAGTCTACAAATTTAAGCTTGGAAATTGATTAAATCCAAAAGTTGGATTTCCTGTCAGAAGAGGCAATGGGTGGGGAAAAAAGGAAAATGGTGGTAAATGACTATTCTATTTCTAAAATTATTTTTATGCTGTGATGGTCATTTTGAAAAATCCTTTCTTAGCGAGCACCTAGAAGCCAAGAGGAACATATGTGCCAAATTTCAATTTGTAGGTTTTACGATTCTGGAGATTTTGTGATGATGCGTGAGGGGTATATTTCACTTTTATATAGAGAGATTAATACGAAATATAAAAACCCACAGGAAACATGGGAAGCAGGGAAAATAAAGCAGCTAGAAATAGGAGCAACTGAAAGCATCCAAAACAGTTTCCGTTGTCCAGCGTTCCCTTGATTTTATCAGAGGGTTGAGAGAAGCCCCAAGGACACAACACTATTCCATCTCTTAATTTCATCTCTTGAACATTCCCACACACCTGATTGGCCCCAAAGACCTCCTGTTCGTTTAGCACTTTTCCTTTAAGCTTGATGGAATGTCTTGAACACCAATGCCACAGAATTATTGGCTGGACATTGGTTGCCTAAGTGATGCTTGTGAGCAAACAACTTTGCAAATCCACAGCCGGAACCTTGATCAACTTTGGAAACTTGCATCCTAGAGAAAAATAAGGTTTGGGTTTGTCTCGAGAGTGAAGCAAACCAGAAAGTGTATTTTTGGTGTTTTTTTTAAAAGCAGGTAGACAAATTCCAAAGCCTCTTGGCTGGGTGACAGATTGACGTTCCCGAGTAATCTCTTACAAACAGCGGCTTGCTTTTTTTCATAGTGGTGGATCAAGCAGGCAATAGGGAGGTTTAAGAACACAACGTCCACGCGTTGCATTTTCCTTCCACGCATGACTATTCCTCAAAGGCAACTCGAAAGGTAGCCAGGCACGTATTGCAAGGTGGAAGGTGGCAATAAGGAAGGGTTGGGTTTTTTTTCTTTTTTTGCAGCACTGCTGTCGTGCAGGAAATATGGAAGAGTGATACAAGGCATGGTTTGCATGCAAAATAACAGAGTTGGAAGGGACCTGAGAGGTCTTCTAGTCCAACCCCCTGCTGAAGCAGGAAACCCTATACCATCCCAGCCAAATGGTTGTCCAATCTCTTCTTAAAAGCCTCCAGGGTTGGAACATTTGCAATTTCTGGAGGCAAGTCGTTCCACTGATTAATTATTCTATCAGGAAATTTCTCCTTAGTTTTACGTTGCTTTTCTCCTTGATTAGTTTCCATCTATTGCTTCCTATTGTGCCTTCAATTGCTTGGAGAATAGATTAAGCCCTTCCTCCTTGTGGCAACCGCTTGGATTTTGGAACACTGCTATCATGTCACCCTTAGTCCTTCTTTTCATGAAACTAGACATAGCCAATTCTTGCAATGGTTCTTATGATTTAGCCTCAAAAACATTCTATGTTTAGTCCTTGGCATTTTCTGATAGGAGGAGAACAAGCTCTGCTTGAAACTATGGAGAGATATGAGAAGTTACCCCTTGTGGCCTTCAGGAAGCATTGTGGCACAGTGGTTAGAATGCAGTATTGCAGGTTAATTCTGCTCACTGCCAGCAGTTTGAATAGAATAGAAGAGAGGAGAGGAGAAGATGGAATAAGGAGTAGAATAGAATTGAACAGAACAGAACAGAACAGAATAGAATAGCATAGGTAGAATAGAATTCTTTATTGGCCGTGTGGTTGGACATACAAGGAATTTGTCTTGGTGCAAATGCTCTCAGTGTACATCAAAGAAAAGATACATTCGTCAAAACTCATAAGGTACAACACTTAATAATAGTCATAGGGTACAATAAGCAATTAAGTCATACTAGGAAACAGTCAATAAAAATCGTAAGGATACAAGCAACCAAGTTACAGACATACAGTCACAATATTAATAGTAATAGTAGTGCAGATTTAGTAAATAGTTTGACAGTGTCAAGGGAATTATTTGTTTAATAGTGTGATGGTGTTCAGGGAAAAACTCTCCTTGTGTCTAGTTGTGTGTAGTGCTCTATAGCATCATTTTGAGGGAAGGAGTTGAAACAGTTTATGTCCAGGATGTGAGAGGTCTGTAAATATTTTCACAGCCCTCTTTTTGACTCGTGCAGGATACAGGTCCTCCATGGAAGGCAGGTTGGTAGCAATTGCTATTTTCCGCAGTCCTAATTCCTCTCTGAAGTCTGTGTCTGTCTTGTTGGGTTGCAGAACCAAACCAGACAGTTATAGAGGTGCAGATGACAGACTCAATAATTCAATTAAGTCAAATAATTAATTCAAATAATTAATAATTTGAGTTGACTCAGCCTTCCAAAGTTGGTAAAATGAGGAGGACCCAGATTGTTTGGGGGCAAGAGGCTATGTGTAAACCTCTTAGGGCTGTAAAACACTGTGAAGTGGTATATAAGTACTACTGCTATAATTCCCGTAATCAGGAAGATTTAGACCAATTACGGTCTGCGGTACTAGCAGCTGATCAGAAGGTCTTCTATTACCTTACAAACTAGCAGATGTGTCACCACTTAAGATTTCATCACAATTAGATGATCTTCTATGATGCACATAAGAATGGAATCAGGCACACGGGTCAAGGATTTACCTACAACCCAGACGTAACTTTTTCCCAGACTGTTTCTTCAGATTCTACACAGTGTTTTTTTTTTCTCCCCTCCGTCTTCTACACGCTGAAGACAGAAAGGACCATGTCACTGGAAGAGAAATACATAATAATTACGGAGGACGAGGAAGATGAGGAGGAGGAGGAAGACATCCAGGAGGCAGCGACCTCAGTTGTTGGTAGAGTGATCAAAGATGCCGTGGACCAAATCGTAGCCCAGCAGAAGGAAGAGGCAGGTACTCCAAGGTGGACATGAAGGTGTCAGGGCATTGGTGTCCGACTTGGACTACTGGGCTCTAATTTGTACTCTTCTCAATCAACTTCAGGTGCCCAATACAAAATGCGAAATATTACTTGGATGAGGTGCACAGATTTCTCCATCGGAAGAGGTCTGTTGCAGATTGAGGACTATATGAAAGTAAGTTTCATGTTCAGTGTCTATGAAGATTCTCCGTCATCCAGGTCCTGGTTGTCCCAAAGGTGCTTTTTTCAGGAGGCAACTGGACTTTCTTGATTTTTTTTTCCTTTGAAGACTTTTTGCTTCTTATCCAAGAAGCTTCTTCAGCTCTGACAGGATAGTGAGGAACGGAAGGATTTACATTCCTTGCAGACACCTGGTCATTTGCATCCTTTTGGAGGGTCATTGGGGCCACTTGGAGGTTTGTCTTTGTCCTCAGGGTCATCTGAGTAGCGCTCCTGGTTCCTGTAGTTTGCCATTTTTTCCCTCTGGAAATCCATTCCTACTCCCACACTGTTCCAAGGTTGTTCATCCCAACTTGTATAGCTAATAGTCTGTAGAGATTCTCAGTCATCCAGTCCTGGTTGTCCCAAAGGTGCTTTTTTCAGGAGGCAACTTGACTTTCTTGTTTTTTTCTTTTGAAGACATTTCGCTTCTCATCCAAGAAGCTTCTTCAGCTTTGACTTCCATTCTGTCAGAGTTGAAGAAGCTTCTTGGGTGAGAAGCGAAACGTCTTCAAAAGAAAAAAACAAGAAAGTCTAGTTGTCTCCTGAAAAATCACCTTTGGGTATAGCTACTGATATATTTCAAGTTAATACCTTGTCAGTCCTTTTCCCCCCACCCTTCCTTTTTATTCATTTCTCCATCATTGAAGTAACGGGACAAATCTTATTTTATTTGATTGCTTATTGTACCCTATTATTAAGTTTTGTATGTGATGATTCTTGACTCTTGACAAATGTATCTTTTCTTTTGTGCACACTGAGAGCATTTGCACCAAGACCAATTCCTTGTGTGTCCAATCACACTTGGCCAATAAAGAATGCTATTCTATTAAGAATGGAATGCATATTAGTGGGTTAGATTAGAAAATCTCCGAGGTCCCTTCCAACTCATTCTGTTATTCTGTTAAAGGCTACCAAACAAAATAAAACAGCTTTTTTTTCCCCCCCAAAGAGGTGCTCGTAACAGGACCGCTCTCTGATTTGCAATATATTTATCCTTTCAGACATGGGAACTTCACGAAAGTTGGTTACACTGGAGCAACTATCTCAACAAACAGGAACTCCAGTATAGCACCCGGTATTATTACCGAGTCCGCTGGAGCATCCCGACATGCAGGAAGCCCATCCCGCGAGCCACAGCTTGTGTCTATTTCGTCATTGAGATTTCCAAAATCAAACCCAAAGTGAGTAATTTGAGGTCCTCTTGGGAGGCAATTAAGCCCAATTGCGATGAAGTCATGTTAGGGATGCTCTCTAAAACCAATGAACGGTGGCTCCAACCAAGAACGCTCCCACCAACTGTTGTGGTTCGCCGGCAGCAGGTGTGGACGCCAGAGGTCTCTGACAGCAAGGACTCGGAAGAGGGGCCTGCATGTGATGTAGGGATGAGGCCAGGACTATCGGAGAGTGGAGTGCCGCCTTTGGAGCTTGTGGAGTCTGGCAGCAGTGATGCAAAGGACCCTGGGGAGCTTGTGCCCAGGGTGCGTGCACACAGGGCTGCTTGAAGGAAAGAGCAGCTGAAGCAGCAAGGGTGACTCGGGAGTCAGGCTGGAAAGTGATGGCCCCTCCCATAAGGGATAAAAACCAGCCCTTGGGGATGTCTTCTTTGCAGGAAGCAAAGAAATTCTTTAGACTCGAGTCCTTGTTGAAGCCCTGCTTACTCCGGTTTGTCTTTAAAACTTCTGTCGGTGGATATTTAATCAGTAATTAATCTTCTGTTCTTGGCAGCCTTTTGCAACCTTGAAAGGGCTTGCTTTTGATATTGGACAATTAGGTTTAAATGCCTTTTGGCTGGGAATGCCCTTGTCAACTCATAAAACATTTGGTATACACATTTTATAGTTGACAACAGAAAGAAGGGAGGGAGTTTCAAAAAGCAGGCGGCAGTGTGGAATCGAAAGTACATTCTATTCATATTTTCTTCAAACACTGATTAGATGACTGAAGCTTCTACAGTGCAAAAATCTAATTGGAGAGCATGATTGATGACTTTTGGCTATGGAAGTTTTTCATTGGATGATACACCCAGAGGGGTGGGGGGGGGAAAGCAGGATCAAGAGTGACAGTGAATTATGTATCTCAGAATTGGCTACGCCCAGGTAAATGCCGGACGTAGAATGTTACGTTCAAATAAATCTTTTTTAGTTTTGGAAGTGTGACTTGAGGCTCATGATTTAATTGGAGTAACTGCCGGAATCCTGACAGCCCTGAATTCCCAGCACCACATTAAAATAGGTTTGCTTTTATACACAGTTTGTGTTAGTTTAATTTGAACAAGGCTTGGGTCTGAACACCAAAACAGACAGAGCAAGCTGCAAGATAGAAACTGTGACCAAACCCCGCACTATTTTAGGACTGATGATGTTTCCTAGTTTGGTAATGAGACGTCTGCAAGAAAACCACCAGTCTTGGAGAGCACCAGGGATCTGGGATTCTGGGACCAGAATCTGATCACAATAGAGATGGGAAATTATTGGCTTTTTGTACAAGTAGTCCTTGGCTTAAAACCAATCATTTAGTGACTGTTAAGAGGTTAAACTAGCCCCATTCATAAAACTAATCTTTGGTTATCTATCTGATACAGACGCTGCCGATTGAAGTATTCTTTGTGGTGGAAACCAATAAGCTCGTTCACAGGTACGTTCACACACCCCAATCAACTGGTTTAAAAGATCTGGGTTCCCACTTTGCCATAAGAGCTACTTGTATTAGGTAACCTTTTAATATAAAATGAAAAATGTGAGTGTAAAATACTCAGGGCTGTTTTCTATTTATACAGGCCAGGAAAAACTCGCTTCAAGGAGAAGTGGCTCAAAGATATAATTGAAAGTAAGATTGTCATGATGGAGACTGTGGATTTTTAGTTTTGCTGGGACGATTAGAAATTAAAACCTGTCTTTCTCTCTCTCTGCTTTTGTTTTTATTTTTTGGTAATAAAATTCAAGAGTTGCCGTAATCAAACCCTTGTTTTGATCTCTTTGGGTCATTCGTGTCAATGAAGTGCAGGAAGAAAAAACTTTTAACCAAATTGTTTATGGAGATTTTCAGTCATCCAGGTCATGGATGCACTTTTTCAAAAAGCAACTGGACTTTGTTTTTCCTTGAAGCTGTTTTGCTTCTCATCCAAGAAGCTTCTTCTGTTCCACCTGAATGGCAGAATATAAATCCTTCCATCCTGCACCATTCAGCCAGAAGTAGCTTCTTGGATGAGGAGCAAAAGGTCTTCAAGGAAAAACGAAGTCCAGTTGGCCTCTTGAAAAAGCATCTTTGGGTTTTAACCAAATTAGTTTTAAGGCTCTTAAATTGGACATTTGCAAAAGTTGCAGAAGATTATACCTGTCGGTCCATATTTAATGCAATATAGACTTTTCCCAACCAGAGGTCCTCCTAAGGCAGGGGTCTTCAAACTTGACAGCTCTAAGACTTGTGGACTTCAACTCCCAGAATTCCTCCTCCAGTCATGTTAGTTCAGGAATTCTGGGAGTTGAAATCCACAAGTCTTAAACTTGCCAAGTTGGAAGACCCTTGTCCTGAAGTGTGGGAATGCTAGTCTCAAAATTCCAAGTAACTTGGGTGAAAGCAAGATGAGAAAGGGAGACTGCTCTAGAGAAGCCAGGACTGTGATTCAAGGTTTTTCCTTTATTCAGATCTTAAGAATATTGGACTTTGATTCAAGAACAGTCTGGGGTGGGGGGGAGTATGTCTATTTCAAATGTATTATCAACTGGATTTGGGGGCAACAAACGGGAGTGGGGGACAGGACATTTCTGCTTCGGCTCAAAGGTATTTAAAAGAATGGTCCTTGAATGACTTCAAAGAGTTGAGGTGGAGTCATTTAGTTTAGGAGTTGAAGTAAGCCTGAGAAAACTCGTGCTCGAATCCACCTCTTAAGTTTATGGAAAGCCACAGGATGAACCTTGTCATTCTCTCAGCCTGGATCTGCCTCTCGTGGCTATTGTGAGGATAGCAATGGAGAACGGCGGGCTGTGTACGTAACCTTGAGCTCCAATAAAAGATGGAGAGGCATTTATTGAAGAAATAGGAAACTGTTCTGACCAAGGCTTCCTGAAACCATAATTAAGCACTTAGTTAAAACAACTCTTTGTTTTATTTCAACGCTGGGAATTACATTCATTCCCAGCCTGTAATGAGTCCCAGTCCCTCGAGATAAGCACCCACCTTTCTCGCCTTTGAATTGCTGCCAACAACTAGAATGCCAAATGAACTATAAAAAAGCCAAACCAAGTACGAAGTCCACACAGAGCTTCAAGATTTAATCTGAGCAGAGCGAACGACTTTGCTTCCTGCAAAGGTTTCTTCATCTTTGCCTGTCCTTTATCCCTTATAGGAGGGACAATCACCTCCCAGTCTTACTCCCGAGTCGCCCCTTTTGTCTCAGCTGTTCTTGCCTTCTAGCAGCTCTGTGCATTGGGAACAGGCTCCTCTGGTTCCTCTGCCTCACTGCCAGACTCCGGAGGCTTTGGAGTCAGCATTCCACTCCCAGATGCCCCTGGCCTGATCTCTGCATCGGTTGCAGGACCCTAGTCTGAGTCCTCCCCAGACTCCCAGACTGGTCCCCGTTCTTCCCCACTGTCCGATTCCACTGCCGTCTGCGCAGGCTGCCGGCGAACCACAACAGAAACTGGCACACCTCAAAAAACAACACATAGCCATCTGTACTTAGGGAGGGCATTTTAATTTTAAAAATAGACTTTAGAAGTGGTGTACCATACCGGAACTGTGCAAAAAAGTAATGTCCAGAATGCATTCAATAAAGCTGTCCTTGATACTGGGGTGTAGTTATGTTGGGATTTTCTTTTCTTCCTTGTTTCAAAACGTGGCTCCAGCTTTGCTTCTAAAGTTTATGGGGCACTCCAAATTTACAAAAGGCAACAGAAACTGAAAACTCCCACAATACGTGGCAGTTGGTACATGGGCTTTGAATTCCAACCCAACATATTTTATCTATAGATAAAACCATTGAAGAAACTAAAGGGTTAAAAACTTACTCAGATGGATATTCCATCTTCTATTTACACTTAGTCGAGCAGAAAATATATTTAACGATCGTCAAAAGCATTCTTGCTTGCAAAATGATATTAAATCTGCAAAAAAAACAAAACTCAAAATGAAAAGAATATTTTGTGTTCCTATTTACAAGGAGTCTGCAGGAGACACCCCACACTTGACGGTCTGAGCCAGAGAACATGATTTAAACAATTTTTCTCTGTTTTTAATGATCCACTCCTATTTGTGTCTGTCGGAGGCAGGAAGCTTATAAAGGCAACCATCAGCATTAAAGCTACTTCTGTCTTTTGGGTGCATAGAGTCAGACCCAGGGTATGTTCTGGCCATTTTTCACAAAACACACTCGTCCTATAAGAGACCTTGTTGTTTCATTCAGGGCTTAATATTTTCTTCTTGTCAAAGTGGATAGAAAACAGGTCTTCTCTCAACCCCCATAAATGGAAATCTTTGCTCCATTTGCTCTGATTTTCTTTCTTCTTTTTAAAGTGCTACTTTCTCAATCAAAAAGAAGCAACAATATCTCAATAGCTCCTGGGCATTATGGTGGTACCGATTGGCCTGCTTTGGTTAATCTGACTTGGATTGCAAGTTGGAAAGACCCTGCGAGTTAGTTCCAAGGCCTCACCAGACCAATTAGGGTTCTGAAGCTGGATATCTTAGGGACTGTTTCCCCCCCCCCCCAAATTCCCCACAGCACAAGCCAGTGTCGGGGCCCCACCCATCCGCCCATCACTAGGGAGGACACGTCGTTCATTTCTCATCCTTGCTCTTAGTTTTTCGGTAGACCATTTCCCGGAAGCTGGCTAGGATCTTGTTTTCTCTCTTCCGCCTTTCCTCCTGGTTGAAAGACGCCAGGGCCCTCTTCTCATCCGCGCTATAGATCTGGTTCTCTTTCCGCAGACGGACCGCCTCCATTCGCCGATGCCTAAGGAGAGAGACGGTGCCCATCGGTGAACGACCAACACTCAAGGCATCAACCAGTGACAAGAGCATTTGTCAACTCATAAAACATTTCTACGCCTGTTTTAGAGTTGCCATGAATGGGGAGGTGGGCACTGTGTGCAACAAAATTTCATTTTAATGTATGCCGATTTGAGTACATTCATCGTGACAATAAAGTTATTCTAGGTCTTCTATGTCTAAAAGCTCACTGCACAGATGCACAGACTGAAATTCCTAGATGGCATATTACTGCCAAATGCTACTGCCAAACCATCATTTTTGATTGGACAGAAACAAAGGAATTCAACAGATGAGGGTATAATCATGATGAAGTGCAATTCAATATAATTCAGTATGCTTCATTACAATTTGGTGTAAAATACAAGCAAGATCCAGTCTAGTCTTTGTTCTGAGATTGCTTCTGGTGCTTTTGGAAGGGCTAATCAAAGTCAAGGCTAGCTCTTGGCCCTCACAGCCATTTTTAATCTGGTCGCTTACCTGCTGCCACTCATAACATAGCCGGATTTCTCAAAGGAAGCGATTTCTTCGCTGGTAAGGCCGATCTCGCCTCTCCTGGGGATCCGTTTGCCCGCCTTGACGTACTCGGCCATGGCGGCACCTTCACCGGGCAGCAAAGCGTGCCCATAGCTTCAGGGGAGAAAGAGAATGCCGATGTAAACCACAGCAAGTACAAAAAAAAAAGAGTTGCTTTCCCCCAGCCTGGTGTTGCAGTTCACCCTCTGTGTGCGATCTGAATCTACAACCATTCTACTCCCTCCTAGTCTGTTATCAGCCACGGAGGACAGCACTCACTTCAAAGGACGGTCGTCTTGAGAAGCGTGAGTGATGGGAGCTTCTGGGCCAATAAAATCCACGGAGTCTGGGTTTTCTGCAATAAATAAAGGAGAAAAAAAATCCTAACCCAATGAAAGCTAAGGCAGTATGCATCACTAATAAACAATTGTGACAAAGCCTGTTTTGTGGAAAAAAAACACGTATGTTGACTAAGAAAAGCATACCTCCTTTGGTCTTTTTAATTGCCAGCAGAAAGGGAGTGGGGAACCCAGATTCACTTAACAACCGGGCTACTAACTTATCAACGGCGGTGATTCACTTAACAGCTGTGGCAAGGAAAGTTGTAAAATGGGGGCAAGAGTCACTTAACAAAATGTCTGACTTAACAACAGAAATGGTGGGCTCAATCGTGGTCCTCAGTTGAGGACTATCTGTACATCATTAATGAACAGGAATGATAAAGAGACAAAAGCATTAAAAAAAAAATACAATCCAGGCGACTGGAAAGAAGGATGTAAACACAAGAATATCCTTAAAATTTGCTAGTAATCTCCCAATGAAATGAGTTTGAGTTTTAGACTGTTCTGAGATGAGTGCCTGTCTCTTAATCAAAGGGATGCACATCACTTGAGCTTAGTTAGCCCTTCCTCAGTGGGAACCACGTACTTGATCTCTCAATCCAGAGATCGTCCCCATGTAGAGTTCCCTCGTCAGAGTCTTCGCTGCTCGAGTCACTAGAATCCTTCCTGCTCTTCTTACTCTTCTTTTTCTTGCTCTTTTTCCTGGCCATTAAAAGAGGGAGAGGATTTGGAGAGCCACCGTCAGGGAAGAGAAAAACCAATGATTACAAGAATAAAATGCTTTGGTTACAGCACTATCTGCAAAGGGGCCACAGCAAGCTAGGATCTCAAACTCTTCATTCTTTTCTCTTTCTAGCTGGCATAAATAGGGTTTTATGTTTTATTTGCTCAATAACAATAACAAAAGCTGAAAGTTAAGCCAGCATTTTAGGAGTTATTTCTATTAACAAGACAGATTTTGGCTTGTCCTTAGGCAGTTAAGGCAAGAATGATATCATATTTAATACAGGATGCATGCA